GTAAAGCTGGATTTGACTTATGGTTCCACAAGAATGCTCCGAACCCGAATGTTTTAACCGGAGCAGTGGTCGGAGGACCCAACATTAATGATCAGTATAGTGATACGAGGACCAATTACAATATGGCTGAAACAGGAACTGCAAACGTGGCGCCATTTGTTGGCGTCTTGGCACGGTTGGCTTGACTCAACCCTACACCAGGTTGTATTTCCTAATAAGATGATTTTCATCGAGTTTTAGGGGGAACATGAGGGTTTTATGGGGGCTAAAATGTCCTTTTTCAAATATTGTATTTGACAAAAATACCCTCGAATAATATAATAATGAAATGCACTTTCATTTCGTAACTTAATTGACATAATATATATACTTCCGATCTAGAGATCATTAGTTTAAATTTTTCGTAAAGTAAGAAGTTTCATCAACATATATAAAAATTGTGACATCCGAGCAAATGAGGAGTACATGAATGAACCAGAACCACATTTGAATAAAAATGATATTCAAGATAGGAACACTGAGAAAGATTTAAAAGAAATGAAAGTTAATATCTAGCTCAATCATAGAAACTTTATAGCTTAGAATAATTCTAGGTTGGATAACCTCTTAAAAATCGAGTGGTTTGTGGTTTGTGGTGCTTGACTTAATTTTAATGAATTTAGTTGACTTAGACTATTGGAGTAACATAATTCAATTTCACACAATTAAATTAATTAAAATAATGTTTGATCGGTTGACTTTTGGTAATAAAAAAATACTTTTTAATTTAATAAATAATTAATTGTTAATTTGTCGGTACCTTTATTTTTTTTTTTTTTATAAAATTATAATTAAATCTATTTTCATTTTTCTTTCTTTGAGAATATACTTTTTCATATAAAAGTAAATTCACTTTTTATTACACCTTTAAAAGTAATTCAAAATATATAAATAAAATAATAAATAATAAACTTATTTAGATTTAATCATTTTAAACCCAAATTAAAAGTTAATACACAATTTATAAATAAATTAATAAATAAATATCGGTCTCTCTTATTATAGTATAAGTCATAGTCATCATGTCACCGCAATATTAGACTAAACTTTTAAATATTATATAAATGAATTCAAATGGTTAAGAAAAAAATATCAAATAAAAAATAATAATTGAAAAGTAAAGGGATTACATGATGGCTCTAATTATATATGTGTCATAGCCTCCATTTAACAATAATATGACAAATAAAAATAATTGCACAAACCACCCCCTTAACAATGGTCCGCCATTTCTTTGCAATATTGTTACCTATTTCTCGCTTCTTAAGAGTGAAGACTTCTTAGTTATCTTATCTTCGGGATTTTTCTCGTTCGAATGTGGTCTCGATTTATTCATGTACCACTCCTTTACTTAGGTAGATTTTTTTTGTATTGAAGTGACATCCCAATGAAAGTTAAAGTTGAGAAAGAAATTTGACCCGGTCAACTCGAATATTTTGTCCTTCGAACCCGAAACCGAATCGATTCAGTTTGGGTTTAGAAAAATGAACTCAACCCTACTCGAAATGTTAATCCAACCCTTTTAGTTCAGGTTGAGTTGTTCCAGGTTGTCTGTACACTCTATTTGACCAAATGATTTAAAATTGAAATTTCTAATTAAATAAAATTGAAATAAACAACCATGTCACCGCTCTTTGTCTAGTTAGCCAAATTATTATTTTAATGTATTTTCTATGCTGACAAAATAAAATAAAAAATTTGTCTTCCCCATCTTCCACATAATTAATTTAAGCCAATCAACTTACTCCACTAGCTCATGTTCTATTAATATGTTGGGCTAATAACTCAAAAAATAAATAAATAAATAAATAATATATATATATATATATATATATATATATATATATATATATATATATGTGTGTCCTTTTAAAAAGTAATGTTTCCTTAATTTTTGTAAGGGCTTAAGCCTACTTTTAGTAGATATTGTCCGCTTTGGTCTGTCATAAATCGTCATCAGTCTCACAGTTTTAAAACACGCCTACTAGGGAGAGGTTTCTACACCCTTATGGCATTCTTGCTGGCACACCGACCGTTGTTTGGCTATGATACAATTTATAATAGTTAAATTGCTGGCACACCGACCGTTGTTTGGCTATGATACAATTTATAATAGTTAAAACCCACTGCTAGCAGATATTGACCGCTTTGATTCGTTACGTATTGTTGTTAGTCTCATGGGTTTAAAACATGTATGCTATGGAGAGGTTTTCATACTCTTACGAAAAATGATTCGTAATATGGAATCTCATAGTGTTGTAGAATATGAATTAGCTCAAGCTATTGTTACAAAGATGGTGCTCGATTCCCCAACTTTAAGATTAAAAAAAGGCTTCTCAAATAAAAGTATGACTTCTGGTTTGGATAAAAAAAAATTATTTTTGTGTTTATGGATGATTTAACAGCTCACTTGCTTTTGGGATTATCACAATTAAAAATTTATTAATGGAGGGATTATGTCTAATCAACCACCTAATGAGAGAGAGAGAGAGATTAATATGTAAATTTGGTTTGAATTTCCATTGGTCAAGTGGATCAATTTTATAAGACAAAGTCAACTCTCTTTTAGACATAGTGGGCAATCAATTGTCACCAATTTCTCGCTGCCCCAACCAATCTTCTATTTATTATTATTTTTCTGTGTTCAAAACTTTAATATCGCCATGGAGCTCTGTCTTTTTATCCATCCCATCTAATCTAATAAATACATTATGGCTCGATTTGATTAGGAATGTCTACGGGACAGTGTAGGATGCCCCATTTCTCTAACGAAAAAATAAACGTTGTCCACTCCCTCCCTCATTCTCCATCTAAACTAAGAATTCCCATCTTGTTCGAGGCAATACTCATGACTCCCGACCCACCGGTTAAATAGACATCTCTAGGGTTTCTCTCGTATCCAGTCTCTTGTTTTTTGGAGGTAGTTTGGTTGGAGAGAATAGCTCAAGAACCAAATCAATAATTTAATTTAATTTTTTATATCTATTTTGGATTAGGTAGAAATAGAATCTCGTTTCTTCTTGTTTTTACTTGAATCATTCAAGAAAACAAATATATTATAAGAAATTTTATTTTTATTTTTATTATTTTCCATATTTTAAAGTTCAAACAGCTTTAAATTATTATTTTTTTTTCCCCAAAGGAAGAAAAGTTGTTTTCTTTGACTTTGACTTTTTTTGCCCTTTAAACATTCAACTCTCTCTTGCAAGACCCACGAGCTTAATGTTGCTATCAATCTACCCAACGACATCTCTTTCCATCTCCACCGTTTTGAATGGAGGATATCCGCCAAAACCGTCTTCCTCCGCCGCAGCCACCAGCCGCGGAAGATATTCCTCCATACTTCCGGTGCCCTATTTCCATGGAGGTTATGCATGATCCTGTCACGATTTCCACCGGTGTTTCCTTTGAAAGAGCCAATATTGAGAAATGGTTCTTCACTTACAACAAGAAAACTTGCCCTGCGACCATGCAAATCATTGTCAACTTTGATATCACCCCAAATTATACACTCAAAAGGCTCATACTCTCATGGAAAATGAATGAATCTTGCTCCTTCGCCTCCTCCTCGTCGCCCCGACCACCATCGGTGGAGTACGATGATGTTGTGGCTCTCTTGAAAAACATCGAGTTGTCGCCATTCAAAGCGAGTTCTTTGAAGAAACTACGGCTACTCATGGCCATCGACGATGTAGCGGCGGTCAGAGCAAAAACCATCTTTGTTCAAGCAAATGGGTTTGAAGTTCTTGTTGGATTAGTCACCCAAGTAGCCATTTGTGAAAGCTCCAATTTCGCTAATTTTGAAGCTTGCGAGGAGGCTTTAGGGGTATTGTTAATCTATCGATCGAACGTGGTTAATAAATCTAAAAATTTCGGTCGATGAAATACGTTACGATATATTCAATCTTTTATTTGTATTCCTAACAGGTATTATCTCAATTTCCATTTTCCAAAACCGAGAAGCTATTTGAGTTACTATCGAAACTAGAAGCGATCAAGTCAATGGTGATCGTTTTGCAAAGAGGAAGCATAGAAGGACGATTTTATGCCATGGAAATACTCCAACAAATATCCAAAAAGGGTTATGATTATAACTCTTTATCGAAACATCATGCCATTGACTTGTTCAAATCAATATTGGAGCTGGCATCGGATGAGATAATCAAGAAAGCAAGTACTATTAAGACGACAGACTCGTCCATAACTACACAGTGGTATGATATTGTTCAAACACGAAATTACATTAGTTGAACGTTTCTCACTAAATCTTTTATTTTTTTCTAGTCGATACGGGACATTATTCTCATCTGCCCTCGAACTTTTGATAGAAATCATGGAATCCTCTAAGAAATGTCGTCTTCTATTGATCGAAGCTGGTGCTATTTGCATCATGATCGACCTTCTTCCTGACTCGAATCGATCGAAGTGCGAGAAAATATTACACGTACTCAAACTTCTAAGCGATTGTGCGGAGGGACGGTTAGCCATGGCGGAGCACATCATGGGAATAGCGACGGTGACAAAGAAAATGAGTACATCAAATACAGCTACAAAAATTGGGGTGAAAATCTTATGGTTGATATGCAATTATCATCCTAGTGAGAGGGTTTTAGAGGAGATGATGGGTTGTGGCACAGTGAAGAAGCTGGTAGGGATCTTGAATGGCGATGGAAGATCTTCTTCAACCAAGGAGAAGGCCATGAAGATCATGAAGCTTCATGGGAGTTTTTGGAGGAGATTTCCTTGTTTTCCTTATGAATTTAGGGATTATTTTAAGTTGATAAATTAATAGAATTTATGTTCGATTGGGTTCTCGGGATTTTCGTTAGGTTAAACTATATATCCCTGAACCTCCAAGATCGTATCTACTCGATTTTTGAACTTTAGGTTAACAGGGTCTTTAAAGTTTAAAAATATCAAGCAGGTCCTTTATCTTCACGGTCATATCCATTAGATTTTTGAACTTTTAAAAGTGTCAAGTTAAAGACCGTAAACTTTCAAATTTACGTTAACAGGGTCTCGAAAATTTAAAAATTTCTAGTCCGTCCTTTACCTTTCAAGGTTGTGTCTACTAAATTTTTTAACTTTCAAAAGTGTCTCGCTAAGATCTTAAACTTTCAATTTGACGTGGAATATGGTCTTTAAACAACTTGTATTAATTTTTTTCTATGTAACAGCCAAAACCCACAGTGAGGGTGACGACAATACGTAATGGGCTGAAGCGGAGAATATCTGCTAGTGGTAGGGTTAGGCTGTTATAAATGGTATCAGAGCTAGACATCGGCCAGTGTGTCAACGAGGACGTTGGACTCCAATAAAGTGGATTGCGAGATCTCAAATCAATTGAAGAGGGAAACGAAACATTTCTTATAAACTGTGAGGCTGACAGCAATACGTAGCGAGCTGAAACAGATAATATTGACTAGTGGTGGACTTGAATTAGTACGACGAAATAAACATAGATAAAATATTATTATCTAAATATACACTCTAGGGTTCTTGCCCAATCAAAAGTCTTCCCATAGTTCTTGAAAAGATGAATGTTTTATTTATTTATTATTTATTTTCTTTATCCTTCTTGAGATCTTCATGGGCACAGAGTTTGAGTTCTTTGTCTCCTCCCACATGGAAGCTTTTGTTTTACCTCCTCTCTCTTGCAGCCCTACTTTAATGTTGGATACTTAAGGGACCATTTAGGTTTACAAGGCCAACCTTATTAATTCACATGGGAATCCACGTGCCTCACGTTACTTGAACGATTACATCACTTTATTATTAGGTATGACAGTTAAACGTTCGTATCGCTCTCCCACAACCCCACCTTTATTATACCGTCTGTGTAAGATCTCACGTCGGTTAGAAAGAGCAACGAAACATTTTTTATAAAGATGTAAAAACCTCTCCCTAGCAGAAGCGTTTTAAAATCGTAAGACTGACGGCGACATGTAACGAGTCAAAAGAGACAATATCTACTAACGGTGAGTTTGAGATATTAAAGCTTTTTTCTGCTCATCTTGTTCATTCAATAGTAATAGCTAGGAAAGATTAATCTCATCATTGCATACCTTTGTATTATTGATAATGAAAAACCATTCGAAATATGCTAAATGGAACGATTATATTTCTCGAGATTTGCTTTACGTCAATGAACAAACATATTTAAAGCACGATGCTAACATACAGGAAATGATTCATTTTTAAAATGTCGATAACAACGTTACACTAAAATCCACAATTCAAGCCATTTCTCATTAAAATTAATTTTTTTAATGTAGATTAACCAATAAAATTGGAATATGCTAGTTTAAATATTTCAATTTCGGGCCTCCATTTCTATATAATTACAAATATTTTATTAGCTATACATAAAACACGACGTAATTTAAATTTAAATATCTTAACTTATTAGAGAGGTTATTAATAAATTAAAAGAAAATAATAATAATATTAATAATTAATTAAAAATAATACAGGTGACCTGTCCACTATTTTAAAAATAAATTTCAGGATGAGGATATATCCACTCAACTGCCCTATCTATATTATTAATAAAAGGTCGGATGGATCAAGTACGGCCTCTAAAAACATGTAAGTTTCGACTTTTTTAATAGTCGTTGTCCTCCCTGACTTGATGTCGTGAACGGTTCACTTCCTTAAATGAGAATTGGTCTTCCAGATCTACAAAAATTGTTCGTTGCCATTTACTTGTTTCGTTGCATCCCTCCCTTGAACAAAGATGACTAGAGACACATCAGGATGTCAAGTTCGGATCTTGGCCTTCGCGCTCATTTATCCATGTCGTTATTTTTTTTTGTCTTTTTTGAGCAAGTTCTCGAAAATGTCTGGCACAACTGAGGAAGGTACAATTTATTCTAATACGATCTTACTAAGGTGGGTTTACGATAATTGGAAAACATAAAGATTACATATAGAAAATCATATAAATATTTATTCTTAATTTATTTTTCATCTTTTATGTCGAGAAATTAGAAATCAATGGAGCAATTAGTCACATTTTATCATTGATTAAAATTAAAATTTGATTAATTTACTTTCTTGTTTGCTTAGCCAATAAGAAAAGAACAAGCATAAGATTAATAAAGAAGTAACTATTAATAATAGAAAAAGGAAAAAGGAAAAAAGTAATTTATTTACATTTTAATAATACCTTTACAAAAATAAATTTTAAATAAAAAAATTACTCCACCTCGGGTTCCAATTAAAAGTTTAGTATTTTAACTTTTAATCTATGTACGTGAGATCTCACATCGATTAGAGAGGGAAACAAAGGATTCTTATAAGAGTGTACGCGTTTTAAACCCGTGAGTTGATGGTGATACGTAATAGGACAAAATGGTATTAGAGCTAAACACCGAGCTGTGTGCCATTGAAGGATGCTGGCTTCAAGGGGAGTGGATTGTGAGATCTTAGCAAACACGTTTTAAAATCATAAGGCTAACAGTTATACATAATGGATCAAATCGAATCATATCTATTTTTAAAATCTTAATTAATATAAAACTATAGTTAAATTTTGAGAAATTTAGTGAGTTGAAAAAATGAAATTAATGAGATTTAAAAAAAAAAAAAATGATGTAAGGACCCAAATGAAAAAATAAAATGAACAAAAATTAAAAATACATCGATTATATGAGTTTAATAAAGGTTGATGATTAATATAAAAATGATTTTATATATTTTATAATGTCAATGCCATTAAATAAATAACCACCCACCATAGTGGAATTCATAATACCAGTGGTTCATAGCATTGAAAGAAGCTAAAGCCAAGGGCCGCTTATGGTAAGCACGTGTGAAGCATAGTAATTAATTTTTCAATATAATGTAAATAGTAGGGTGTGACTCTCATATAGTGATAGACAAAACGACGACTCTTATGTGACGCCCATCAGTTACGTGAGGGTTAAGATAGATTACTGTCTTAATACGACAGTAGAGGACAGTACATTATCTAACATACTAAAGATGGAGGCAGCAAGTAGACAACAGGGACAAAGATAGGCTTAAAGAGATGGTTATGACCCTAAGCCTTAACCTTGAAAGTTGGATTTCGGAAGAAATTTGGGCATGCGGCTCTAGATTTAAGTTTGTCCATATGAAATATGAATGCTCGTCAAATTTGGTATTGATCGGATACCGAACAGACTCTCCATAAGACTGTATGACTGTTAGCCAAAATCGGTCTATTCCCACCAAACAAAAAATATTTAATGTACTCTACGGTACAAGATCACAAACCCTAATTTAGTATAATTCTAATGGTTATTATTATATCTTTCTCATTGTTAAAACCCTAAACTCTAATTTGATATAATTCTGGTAAAGCACAAACCCGTTACGACTAAAAATAGAGATGTTCGTTTAACTCGTGAAGTCAGAGCCTTGTGAGGATTCAATTTATCGAGGAATGAAATGAGGAGAGATTTCTCTCCGTTAGTTAAACGAGGCTGAGGATGAGAATTATATTATTCGTCCCTATCCTCGTGTCCGCCCAATTTTCGTCCCCCACCATCCCCCTATTTTACTAAACGCGTTAATCTATCATTATACTAAATTTTATTAACTAGGTTGAAATTTTATGGAGACTCGTACCTAGGATTCAAATCAAGAATAAGAATTCGGGCTCTATACTGATGGCCGACATTCCCCTACAACATGGTCACATTACATACTCTTTGCTTCTTAAGAGAGAACAACCATCTTCAAATATTAACACAAAGTTCTTTCATCATGCTTTATTCTCACTCATATGCATCCCCAGAAAAACGCTTAACATAGACATAGAATTGCTCCAAGTAAAAACGCTTAACCATGAAGTTCCTATGATTGAGTTACCAAAGATAAAGGTGCACCTTATTGTTATAGGTAATAACTTTCATTTCCTTCGGGCCTTTCTTAGTCATTCTATCCTCAAGATTGCTCTCGTTCCAATGTGATCTCGATTCATTCATATACCCCCTATTTACTCGGATGTAAAACAAAACAACAAATATCAGATTTTACGATGATAAAAAAACATTTCTAAAGACAGATAAGCATCACTATAAGCTTTCAGTGACAGAAGAAACGTCGCTAAAAAAAACGAACGTCACTATAAACTTTCAGCAATCAGAACAAAAAAACGAGGTAGAAAATGTCAGTTCAGGTCATTCGGTAATTATAATTAAACATTAAATCAGACAATTTGATGAAGTTTATAGCACAAACAGGCAAAGATGAAGGCTAAAGAAGAAGAAAGAGAGGGATTTAGGGCTGAAAATTATTGGGATTGAACAATAAGACACAATGGAACACATGAATTTGCAGTTCATCCTTCAACCAAAAAATTGATTCTGATTTGGCATATTCATAGGCAGATTTAGAAAGGGCAAACCCGAAGATCCGTCGGGAAAAGGGTTGTCGTGGCCATCACCGCCCCCGCCCTCGCCTCCATCTCCGTCACCACCAGCTGTGGGCATCGACAATTCTTCTTCATCCAACGGTAGCCTCTCGTATGCAACGTTGCCGAACGATGATGCTATAACGATAACAGGCCCCGATGCAATCAAAGCTCCCACGACATTCCCTCCGACCACCTTGTTAAGAATAAGTATAAAAGATTAGATTTATGGATGAAAATTTTGAATCCCACCCACCCTTCCTAAAATTATAATCGTGTATCTGAAGATAAAAAAAATTAGGTTAAACTTTTGAGTTGAGTGATGATTTAACTTACTTGTCCTTGACCTCCGGCTAAGAAAATCGTGAGACTAGTAGCACCTGGTGGAGCAGGTGGCGGTAAGAACGATCCCGATAGGGACAAAATCTCAAACCTCCCTTGCAACGTCAACACGGATCCAGCCGCAGCCGGTTGTCGTAAGCTAACATTATTCACTATCCCACTTCCACTCAACACACAGATCCCCCGTTGTCGCCGTCGTGCATAGCCAGCCACAGCCTCGAACACATCATATCCGCTACCGATTTCCAAGATATGAGCTCGGAGGGTATTAGCGCTCTCGCGCGTGATGATCACGGGCGGCTTTGGCTTGTTCTTGGACCCGGCTGGGCGACCCCTAGGTCGACGAACCATAGCATCTCCACTACCACCGGAGCCGCCGCTGCCGTTGAAGTGGTTGAGATTGGTGACATGATCGGAGCTGGGCGGTGAATCTAAGTGGAGATCAGGGCGTTGTTGAAGCTGGTCAACAAAGTGAGAAGCTGAGCCTAAGTTTAAAGTAGCCATAAACAGAAGAAAATGAGAGAAACTTAAACACTCAAAGATGAACAGGAAAAAAACCAGGGGTGAAAAAATAATGTAAAATAATAAAAGGGACAGCAATATAATTTTTTTATTTTATTTTTTTATTTTTTGGAAGGCATTAATTAGTATAAAATTATATGGATTTGTGTGAGAGAACAGAAGAGCAGATGAGTCCCATGTTGAAACCCTAGAACAAAGAGAGAAGAGAGAGAGAGAGGGAGGGCATATGATAAAAGGCATAAATAAAAGTGTTATTATTATTATAATACAAAGTTTAAATACCTAAAATTACTATATAATATAATTGTGGGTTTTGGATATATTATAATGTTTGATGTCACAAGTGGGCTTATTATAAAGTTGAAAGTTTATCTCAATATAATTACACCCGTACCACAACACTTTGCAATGCTTTATAAGTGGAATGGTTATTCTAAACCAACAACATCACGACGGGTGTAAACTATTCGATGACATGTTTGAGAGTAATTTTAACTTTTTTTAAATTGTTTAAAACTGCTTTTGTCACGTAAAAATCAGGGAAACGAAGCGTTTTTATAATGGTGTGGAAGCCTCTCCTAACAGACGCGTTTCAAAACCGTGAAGCTGACAGTAATACGTAACGAGGTAAAGTGGATAATATCTACAAACAATGGACTGTAACTGATTCCGACAAAGTATTTCTAGTAAGGTTGTTTTATTTTGTTTTTAATAGTGAGTTGTTTGGTTTTATTCCATGATTAAGCCAACAACTCTTGAATCTAATGAAAAAGAAACAACAAATGGACCAAAGAGGGAATTCCAAATAGGGAGATTAGGGTTTTGATTAAGATTAATTTTTTAAATAAATATATTTTAATCAAATATTAGGGATAATAATTGAGTTATCTTATGTATATTTATTATTATTATTTTTAATGATGTTACATTAATTAAGTTTGTAAAGAAATTAAAGGCATAATTTGTCACTTCAAATATATTGTTTGTTTTTTTTTTTTTTTGGTTGTTTATGGGTCAAGTTGAATCGAGTTGAGACATTTTTTTCAATCTGACTCGATCGGGTTGTAAATTTTTTTAAACTAAAGTAACTTTATTAAATATTCCTAAAAAATTTAAAAATAATCATTTTCGTCTTTATGCTATTTATTTATTTGTTAGGTTAAGAGAATTAGACTTTATAATATAAATAAAATGTCGAGACTCATAGAAGACAATATTATTAAATATCATATTACTATTTATTTATTCAACTTCAACGACCGTAATGGATAGTGACTTAATTTGCAAAGATCTAAATACTTTGAAACAAAGGGTCCAATTGAAAGGGAATATAGCTTTGGGCCAAGCCCAATATATATAATAGATAGCTACAAATGAAAGATGATCCTTCGACTTTAAAGATGATATGCTCGTGTATTAGTAATGTTGTATATTAATGATCAATGATTAAGAAGAACTAAGAATTTGTTCGTATCTTATAGATTTTCAACATTTTGAATGTTCTTCGATCTAATAATTTTTTTTAATTCAGCAACAAATTGGATGGAAAATTCGAACATTTGACTAAATTACTTATTTTAAATTAGTTGAATTATGTTCTCGTTGATTCTCAGTTAGTTTTGTAAGGAAAAAAAAAAT